TGAAATGAATACTTGAATGTGAAAGATATCAACAAACAATGAAATAAATACTTACCACTTTGAAGAGAAATGGAAGTTTTCTTGATGATACTTGAGATATAATTGAGTGTTCTTCGCTTGAGTATGTGAGAAATGAAGGAAAATGAAGGAACTTCATATTTAAGGGAGGGGTTCACGTGTAACGCCCACAGATCCAGGCTAATCAATTTAGAGACAATGAGCGTCAAAAATGATTTTTTGATGAAAGATTATTTATAAGGATTAATTTTAACCATGTTTTAGTATATGTTACAAGGATTCCGTACATATAAAGAACGCCGAAATCCGAGTTATAACGAAGAAGTTATGGCCCGTCGAAGTTTTACGGCAAAACCGACATGGCACTGTGAGACGTAAATAGTGAATTTATGATAGAGGACTTTTTAGCCTTAGTTATCTAGACAAAAGTTTTAGTATACGTTAAACTGAGAACATGCAAAAAAAAAAAAAAAAAAAAACCCAAATCTGACTTCGTATGAGGAAGTTATGAATTTTGTAAAATTTGGCATAGCAGTGCATGACCCGAAACTCGAATTTTAGTTCGAGTAGTTTTTGGCTTACACGACCTAAATGAGAGTTTAATATATCATTAATAGGAACTCAACGATAAAAAGACAGACGAAAACGGAGTCTGTATGTAGAAGTTATGAATTTGATGTGGTCATTTAATAGTATAAACTCATCGTACTGTTAAATTTAAGATCAGTCGAGAATTAGCCGACGGAGTCAAAATGAAAGTTGTAGATCTTATTTTTACCTATGTGTGGATATAAAGAATGTCAAAAATGGAGCTTTTATGTGAAAGTGCTGTGCGAAAATAGGTGACGTGGCACAATGTTGACCATTGCTTTCTCCCAAAGTCTTGCCACCAGATGGTGACATGTGGCACCAAGTTCAACCATATTTCACCCTATAAATAGAACCTCTCTCACCCTCATTTTTTTCACACCTTTTCCATTTTTTCTTCTCTTTACACTCTCTCTAGAACCTCTCTCTAGCCCCGAAACCCCCTGAAAAGCCTAAGGAACCTCCCTAGCACATGGCGGAAGCCCCGAAGTGCTCGACGGCTCTGAGAAGAAGAGATTTTCGGCTCGGGAACGCTGCTCCAAGCAAAGTCTGGTTTTCTTTAAAACTCGCTGTAAGTGAGCTACGTCTACGCTATTTTTAATATAACTTTTATTTAATTATAGTAACGTTATTAGGAACTTATAATAAGTACTTGGGCTATTATTATGGGTTATATAACTATTGTTTAACTTATATAATAGTAATAATAGCTAGACTATTAATTAGTCTCGGTGAATAATAGAATAAACTCTAGTAGTAATAATACTAGGTTTCGTCGAAGGAAATTATTTTTAAGAAGCGAAACGCTATCTGAATTCGGAATCACCACCTTTTCAGGTGAGTGCATGGTCTCTTTCATCTTACACATAGATATGAAGTATTTAATATAAATTACGTGGTATGTGTACATATTGTTTGAATACTTGTTGTCTATGTTGGGTGAAATATTATTATACACATTTTAAATGATTTAAACTGTATATGTATTTTATATCTACAAAATATGTTGGGTAAAACATGGGTAGATGTAATAGTTGATGTGTGACCAAATAAAATAATGAAAGGCTTTGTTATCAATGTTATTGTTGATCCAGTCATCTAGCAGAGTATAGATGATGACCACATACTATTCTAGACAGTCTAGTGGAACGCCAGCAGGCTTGCAACTTGTAAGTGTTTATTTGAATTGTGTGCCCACCAGCAGTATTCCATCCCCCACATGGTTGCCTTATTTGACATGAATTGCTGAGGAACCCACGAAGCATGTGTTGTCACCCTGATGAAAGTCTTTAGACTAGGCCCCTTGTGTTAGATGTTTTAGGGACGTAAAGTAAGATAACAGGAACGGGTAATCGGGTTTGTTTAGTTTGATAAAGTTAATAAACTAAATTTATTGTGGGTTGAAAATCCTGTGTACTCACCAGGTTTCCCAACCTGACCCACTCAGTTTATTTATATCATAGTGTTTGATATAAAGTCACATTACACTTACAGATTAAGGAGATATAAATCACTAGTGATAATGAATGTAAGTTCTGTTTATGCTTATGGTTCTGTATTGACGATGAAATCCCAAATGTTTTAAAATGAATAAAAATGCTTTTCTTCGGAAATGCTTTGATAACATATTTATCATGTTTTACTGGGAACTAATTCCGCAACATTTTTATCAAAAGAGGTACTCTGACTTTTATAAAGCATAAACAAAATCGGTCTTTTCTGGCCGTGAAAATGGGGATGTCACATCACGGATGGCCATGGGTTTACGGTCGTGAACTCCTTGTAATGGAGTTTTCGGTTGATTTCAACTCAACGAACTTAAGTTAACACATCCTAACATACAAACCTTGAATGTTCTAGACTTTAGAAACTCAAACAGACTCTTAACAATGTTAACAGATAGTAGAAACAAGTCTAACTTTTGATTGAATTGATAGACTATACAAGATAGAAATTTCAGGTTGTCACAATAAACTATTTTAGTTATGACATCAAATAATTTCATATAACCCAATTTCAATTATCATTGCCAAATATCATCACATGAAGCATGAAATAATAATTGAACTTAACTAGAATCAAGTAATAATCAAGTGTGTTCATCAAACATTCCCAAGCATTCGCAGAAGTAAACCAAATGGTTTAGTCTTCCATTGAGTTCATAAAACACAAAAATTGAATAAAAACAATGTAATTCATAATAAAACTCATAAACCAATGTGAAATCATAAAACCAATGAAGTCTAATGATCAATCAACTATGAAACAATGAAACCTTGGAAATGAAGTAACCAAATCTGGAAGTTGATGAAATTGATGAAGTTCCATCGTTTGAATGATCTTCAATCATTAAATGATGATAAAGTTGGTGATTCATATCCTCGGATCCAGAAATTGATGATCAAAAACGTGTTTGGAGAAGCTTTGAACGTGTTTGGAACCCTCTAATACTGGGGAAAATCACAGGGGAGAGCTCCCAAGTAGATTAGGGTTTAGACTTTAGTCCCCTTAAATTAGGTGCGGAAATATGATTTCGGAGCTTTTTCCACATCGACATCCTAAGAGGCGTCTTAGACGTTTGGTCGGCATCCTTCGTTTTCTGTGCTTATTTTGGCGATGAAAACAACATAACCAGTAGAAACCCAAAATATGAAAGTAGTAGCAAATTTTCTTTAGTTTTCGAAACATCTCTAATTAGGTCAATTGGAGCTCCATATTTTGAGATATTACCAAAATAGTGAAGAGTGGTCCATTTTCCCAACAACCTTTTTCTTTATTACTTTAGTAATTCATCTCCCATGTTTGTTAGCTTCCTTTTTCTCGTTTTTCTTGCGGGTTCTGCCCACTTTAGCACTAAGTAGTTGCCTGCACATAATGTTTTCATCAAAGTAGTGTCATTCTTGGACAATTATACATCAATTCAACAGATTTATGACAATCTAACACATTCATAAAATAGACTTATCAAACCTCCCAAACTTTATTCCAAACTCATCCCAAGATTGGCCTGAAATAATCAGAGTAGACTTACTCTTTTATCCTAAGAAAAATTCAATGGAATCACGACTTCCGTACACCTTATCAAAATGTATTTAATAAGCATAATATATTGATTTTGTGGATTATTAGCTATTTATATGGACTTTATTTTTTAAAACCCTCCACTTTTTGAACCCTTTCCAATAATCAACCTCATGAGTAATCAGTTGAACTCATTGACAAAGTCCCGTTTTCAAGGTTCACTAACATAGTTAGCGCCGTTGGTAACACTTAATGGACCAACCCATACACTTCTGCTATCGAGGGGTCACATATTGTTTCACACAATATCTTCAACTTGAACTTTTCTTTATATTTATCTTGATTGTTTATTCTTCAAATTCTTTGATAGCTTCATGGGATTTGATCATCTTTGTATTTGGCTTGAGCTTGAATATAGACACTTGAAAGTTCTTTAATGTCTTTTTTTTATGATTTTTGGTTGTGTGAAAACAATAATATCCCCCTCCTAACCCCAAAGGTGCAGGAGTAAGTAAGACCAAGTACTCAGAGCATGATGCCACATATTGTTCTGTTGGGTCCTCAATAGAAAGATTGTAGACTCGAGCCAAAAACCTTCATTTTTCAAACTTGGGTATTTCATATAAAAATTTTTAAACAAATATAAATATTTCCAAACCGGCTGAGCAACCTAGAAAATCAATATTAAATATATATTATGACTCGATGTACGAAACTCCTATCATTTTCCATGTTGATGAGTTACATTCAAGACATAGAGAAGCTACTAACCCATCACAGATTCCATGGTGACCAACTCCAGGATAAGATAATTAAAACATAGAGTTTAAGATAGCACTACATTCACCCTAAATTAATTATCCGAATAAAAATCATTAAAACTAATAAAAAAAATATATAAGAGGAGGACGACACACCTGATGGCACCAATAGTAGAGACAATTTTGATTTCCAAAAAGCTTCACTAGTTGGAGGCATTTGCATAATGTTTCGTTATGCCCAAATAAACATCGAAGGATTATTTTTTTTTTTCTAAAAAATCACTTTTTAGTCACTTTTCTTCAATCCTCCGTCTTTTTTTTAGTACACCGCACCCCAACTTTAAGCCTTGCATCGTCCTCGATGCATCAAAAGACAAACACCTAAAACAATAAAAAAAACTACAAGCACAAAAATCAAATCAAATATGAATAAACTAAATTAACTTGCCCTTAATTTCGTTGGGTCTACGATTGCACTTGGCACGTGCAACAAGCCTTTTGAACCCGTGGGTTACCCCTAGTGGATGAGTAAAGTCTCGTGAGGGTTTACAGTGAACTTTCCCACAAAGTTCCAAAATTGTCAGGTTTAAAGTCGTTAGCAGGAAAGATTACCTAGAGCGATGCCAATGGAGGATCATATGCTAGTTGACTTCCTTGAAAGTCAGCCAGGAGGTTGTTCACCGTACTTTGAGAAATTGGACCATATAGCATGCCTTCTTTGACCTTGTATAAATAAACCATTTTTCCTTTAATCTTTCCATGATAACGCTTAAACCTTTCTTTGAACAAGTAAGCATTATTTTTATTACTGGACTTCTTGACTCGATGTTTGGTATCATGAAACACCTTCATCTTTGATTTATGGGTAAGCGCAACATCATGTTTCGTGGTCCATAATTTTTTATTCACTTTTTGACACCCGATCTCATCTAATTCCATTGACCTGTGACCAGATAAAAGTTTCTCCGAATCCTGGGGGGTGTCATAGAGCATATTTGTGGTATGCTCATAATCATAATCATCAATAGTATTGATTACAAATAGGTCACCACTAATTGGAGGATCAGTAGTATGTCCAAATGACAGGAGTCTCAGTTTATGGCTTACAAAGGTCACATTTATCGCACCTTACTAGAAACTAATATAAGCATATATAGTTTTCAAAAAAGGACGATCAATGATTTTACTTGGTTGTTTGTATTTGGCCAATATTTTAGAACCCGTCAGAAGAATTTGTGGGTCGGTTTTTTTAAAATTTGTTGGGTAGGGGTGGTATTAGCCTCCACAAACCCCTCCCCAACTTTGGAGTCTTCTAACTCATTAAGCTCTTCTTTAGACTTTTCCAATTCAATTACAACTTCTTTGATTTGAAACATCCTTTTGGTATCATTATCATTTAAAGGTACATCATCCTCCACCACAACCTTAAGTTCGAGTGGTGTAGTATTATGCACAATGTTATCATTGCATAGAAAACTTACCTCATTTACTTGGGTAGTGTCCGAAGGTTTACCCAGTGGTTGTTGCTTTAGATGCTCCATTATTCGTTCTCTTGATCTTCAATCGCTGAAATTGATTTGGTGTTGTCTTGCTCCTTTTTGAAGGTTTCATTCAATATCTCTAGCATTTTATCCACCTTTTTGCTGAATGAAGATTTGTCTAATTCTTGGTTGTCTTGAAAACAAGATGATTCATGGTGATGGCTTTGAGCCGAATTTTCAGTCCACCAACAATCATCATATCAATCATCGTATGGATCATCATTATATGGATCCTTATAGTATTGATATTGAGCCGATTTCCAGTCCTACATTCATGACTGTCCCTAATAAAAAAAACAATAAAAGAGTGATGACTTTGAACTAAAAATAAAATAAAATAAATAAATAAAATATAATGACTAGTTCAACACAATAGTTTAAGAGCACAATCTCCATGGCAACGACGCCAAATTGTGATCGAGGTCGTTGTCTCGGTCAAAAATAAACCAACTAACCTATGTAAATAGTGTAAGTCGGGTCGAATCCATGAGGAGTTCATGGTTAAACTCTGTGTCAAAATAATCAACAAAAAATATATTACTAGTAATTGTCACGAAAAATATCTAAACAAAGATCAAACAAAAACTTGGAAATTTATAAATAAAAATGAACTCTCAATGAGAAAGGCAAGGTACTCCCAGTTCAGTTATGAACAGTTTAGATTCACACACTTTCTTTCTTACAAGCCTAGTTTAGTTACTTAAATTTAATTTGGGGTCCATTATCTTGTAACACATAACTTTGGGCACATGATATGTTCATTCAACTAATTGTCTTACTCCACATGTCTAAATGGATTATGAACAATTAGTGAATTGAGAATAAAGTGTCTTACAACTACCTATTACTATATTAAGATTCAATATCACAAATTGGATAATATGTGTTGATTCAATCACTTGTCTTTATTAATAAACTACTTGAACATGGAACAAATGATGAATTGACAATAAACTATTTTAGTTATGACATCAAACAATTTCATATAACCCAATTTCAATTATCATTACCAAATATCATCACATGAAACATAGAACAACTATTTTAGTCTCCCATGTTTGTTAACTTCCTTTTGCACGTTTTTCTTGGGGATTCCACCCACTTTAGCACTAAGTAGTTGCCTGCACATAATGTTTAACATTTCATCAAAGTTGTGTCATTCTTGGAATGTTCTTGACAATTGTCTAGTGATTTAGTCATGTTATTATAACACTTCTCAATCATGTTCTCTACTGTCGACAATCAACAATTTCTTAGTATCTTTCAATACCTTGGAATGTTCTTGACAATTTTCTAGTGATTTAGTCATGCTACTTTCTGATCCAATCTCACGATGCTCAAAACATCTGAGACATCAGAATAACCACAAGTCATAAAATTCATGATCGATCCTATATCCGAAACATATGAGACTTGAATCTTCCAGTCATTTTCATGACTACTACAAAGGAACTTTTAGATTCACTCAACTCCCTGCTATGAAGCATATGAAAAATCCCTTTGTGACTTTCATGTTGAAACCTTTCAACACAATCTACTTTGACTAAATCCTATTAATATTTCAATCTATAATTTTAGATCCAAATACCACGTACCAATACTGCTATGCCATTTTCTTCATAGCGAAACAATTCTCGAGTGTTTGCACATTGCAACATACTGAAAATGTTTTCTATGAGTGGTATTATCATCAACATGAAATACCAGGAAGACAACGAGACTCCCACTAGATTTGACATGTATTTAAGACTATTATGGACCTCTAGAAAGACAACATTCTTTTGACTTTCTCATGGAAGAACAAATTCCTTGCTACATGATGCTTGCTCAATTCTATGAACAGACTTCTCAATCTTACACACCTTATTTAGATACTTTGTTTGTTTAAATCCTTTCAGAACATTTCATATATCCTTTGAAAGTTTTCTATTGAGGAAATTCATTTAAACATCCACTCTACCATATCTCATTGTCAAAGAAGATATAAATGGTAAAAAATAACCAAATAAAACTTTCTCGACCACTAGTGATAATGTTTCCTCTTAATCAATTTTTGAGTCTAAGTTAAAATCTTTTCCACCATATTAGCTTTGAATGTGTGTACATTCCTATCCATTTCAGTCTCCATATCGAAGATCTAATTGTAACACACTATCATAAGACTAGGCTTTGGATCAACCAATTTCAAAATTAGTTATTCTTAATGGACAAAAGTTTTCTATCCTTAGACTCTTCCAATGGCAGCCATACGCCCACCATTTCTTCCTAGTAGCTATTAGGCTTATCCAAATTGATCAATGTTTTCTCACTAATCAATGTATCTCCTTCCAAATTTAGAGAATACTCATAAGTTGGGCGGTTTTCAAACTCTTTTAAAGATTGTGAAGAGGTAAGTCAATGTCATTTGACTCAACTGGTATGTCAACCTCAGGTTAACAGCTAGTGCCAACTATAGGTTCATTGTCGTTCATATCTCTAATTTCTTCATATTCAATATGAATCCCAGTGACTTCTTCATATCTATATATTCTTTCTCTGAAGGAACATTCTTTATAGTTTTAATCGCAAATATTAAAAGTCTTGAATGTAACACTTCACAAATCTTGATTCAAGTTAGTCATTGGTTTCTCATCTAATGAAAGACCTCACAACACCAGATCTGAATGTCTGGAAACTTTCCAAATCCACATTTCACAAGGCGTTTTCAAACCTACTTAGTTGGATACAAGGTTCAAACATGATCTAATATTTCAAGTGGATATTCCTAAAATGTAATTGGTAGCAAAGCACGACTCATCATAGATCAAATCTCATAGCATTCAATCTCCTTTTATCAACATCATTACATTATGGTGTCCTTGGAGAAGCTTATTATGGAAACCATTCCACAATCTCTATGATGATTGAAGAACCTGATACTAAGGCCTTCTCTTTTCCTTTCAGATTGAAGATCGTTTATATTCATGCATAATTGATTCCCTACTTTGTTTTAATACTCTTGAAACTTTCATAGTGTTAGAATTATGCTTAATCATATAAACGCAATCACATATACTGAACATATCAATAAATATGACATAATAGTATACGTCGTCCCTTGTGGTTGATCTGAGGGGTCCACACACTTTAATGTGTAAAAGATCTAACAATCCTTTATCACCATTATATGTCCACATGAATGTTGACTAAGTTATCTTGCCAACATACAAGACTCGCGTAGTGTAACAACATGATTTTTGCACCCTGTTATTTTAAACACATTTTAACCAGTTTATGTTTAGCAGAAGTATTATTATAAATATTATGAAAACATCACCAATGTTATTTAATTATCAAAAGAAGTCCATCAAAATAAGAGTTCTAAAAAACTTGCACCAAAGTAAATTCTCAAAATCAAATGTGATGAAAACTCAACAACATGTCTAAAATGGTATCATTACTAAGACATAAACTAGAATATAACTACCCAAAAGGTCCCCATCCTCTCCAGCCATCATATGATGTTACCTGTTCCAGTGCAAGGCCAACAGCAAGAAAAGAAACAAATGTCAGAATAAGCTAAGCGATCTAATCATAGTACAATGCTATGGAACACACAAATCCCACATGGGTCAAGCAAACATGAAACCAAACACTTACATAGCATGCAATTAGATACATCATATAAGCAACACAATCAAGATCAATTAATATCATTCATCCTTAGAGCTTGTTCATTTAGTTACACTTCATTATTCATATTTTTAACTAATTTTTATTACTTAATTCATCACTATAATATTATTAAATAATATTAATCTTCTCTTTCATCATTAATAATTACCCTCCACTAGTCACCTTTATAATTATTATAATAATACTTCCTATTTATGGGTCTATTTACTCCTATTTGTGGGTCTATTTATTCGTTTTGTTTGCTACTCTGACATTGCATATACTTGTACACGTGTTGTCATTAAGGTTAGGTTCAAGCGGTGCTAATTCCACCGTGTTACGCCTCCCAAATCCCACGTGATGTTTGTGTTGGCTTTCGGTGTGGAGACAGTATCACTCCAGTTCACCTATCTTTAAGTGAACCATGTGTCAAACTGGTTGTCTATAAAAACAATCTGACTGACTTTCATTTTAGAGCCAACATTAACTAATTTTTATCGTAGATTCAGTCCTAACCGGTTATACTCATTGAGCCGACACTACTTGGCTATCCTCATAGAGCCAATACCTATTGGCTTTCCTCATAGAGCCAAGCCTAGTTGGCTTCCCCATGGAGCCAACCCTAATTGGCTTACACTACCTTTCACCCCACTAGTATATTCCCCTTTTAATTAATTTATTATTAATTCATCTTTTAAGTAATTACACATTTGACATCCCTAAGTAATAATGCATATTTATTAACATCATTTTCTAGCATATTACTTCACAAGTTCTTCTTATGTAAGCATGCAAACTAATAATTACAAGTTATAACTTTTTTACATCACGTACAAGTTCATGCTCATATCATCATTATGGCTTGACAACATCAGTATCATGCTTTGTGCTAATCATCATAGATAAGTGTTTTGAAAACATGGCATTTACACATCATTTAAAATCAACACAAGACACTCTTTCTTTCATGGCCCTAACGCACGCCGCTCACATCAATAAGAATAAGAATCGAGCATATAAGCATCCTAAATTCCCATACACATAAGGAAGCAAAACAATTAAACATATCACATACAATAGGGGTACATGCAATCTAAAAACTCCAGGTTCATTCCAAACAATCTAATATATGGAATTCTCTAACAAGGTACTTAAAAACCACAAAGATCAACTCACCTTTGATAAAACATGTCCCCTATACACTTTAAATCTTGTAGGAACTGAGATATCAAACCTTCCCCTAGTTAAACACAAATGAATGGATTACTAGAAGTTTACATGAACAAAGAATAAAAATTTACTACCGAAACATGCAAATTAGTTATTAGGTCAAATTCTTAGATTTT